GTTTATGGCGTTTTTCTTCTTACCATTTTTTTGAAATTTCAGGAGGAAAAGAACCACACAGACACAATTAATCTTCGATTCCCCAGAAAATATGGGAAAATATGGGAAGTGGGGGGGAAGACAGAAACCCCGAAAATATGAGAAAATATGGGGAATCTTTTTATTTGTGTGTATTCATTTGTGTGTCCTGGGGCCCCTTCATAATTGTGTGGGTTCCCCAGGCTTTCGCCTGTTCGTCGCCCATGGCCGCCTTGTTGACTCCTGCGGAAATCGACGCCAATCGATGCGAAATCGACGCTCGTCGACGCTAGCCGACGCTAAATCGGCGCTGTCTCGTCGACTCCCGGACGCTAACCGACGCTAGTCGACGCTGAAGACGGACTACCGACGCTAATCGACGCTAGTCGACGCTAATCGACGCTAGTCGACGCTAATCGACGCTAGTCGACGCTAGTCGACGCTAGTCGACGCTAATCGACGCCAGTCGACGCTGATCACGGGGGCACGCCAGGCCCCCGTGATCTGCCACCAAGCGCTCTTCGCTCGTGGCCGCCTTCTGTGACCGCCTCCCGTGCGGTGGCCGGGCTGGCCGGGTTTGGGTTGCCGCGGCCAGGCGCCGCCCGGGATGCGGGCCTCGTGGCCGCCTCGCGCGGGGTGGCTGCTCACTGCCCGCTTTTGGCCCGCGAGTCGCCCCGCCCCCCCCCCCCCCACCGCCGCCTCGTGGCCGCCCCGTGCGCTGCCCGGCTCTCCCGGAGATCCAACGCACTGGCAAAAGTCCGGGCGGAGGTTCGTTGCAACTTTCGGCCTCCAGGGGGCCGTCGCCGGGCCCCAGGGCCGTCAGCAGAACGACTCAGGATGAACAACCGGTCTGGGGGAATGAGTCGAGACTTCTTGGGACCCCGCACTGAAAAAAAAACACGACATCGGATCTCTGGGCTTGCACCACACAGATCTTCCCTGTTCTTGCACCCTCACCGAGGCCGCCTCAGAGGCAGCTGTTGCTGCCCACAGGGAGCGAAGCTCGCCACACCCTCTCCGCCTTTGGTGGCGCCGCCCTCCGCCCCTTTGAGGGCCGAGGTGGCCTGGGGGGGGGTCCCTGGCGGGGAACCTCGGGGTCGCGCGCTGTGCTTCACAAAGCGTCCCAAAACGATCCTCACTGAGTTCAGATTTCATTTATCCCCTCCGCGCATAGCTCCCTTGCCCCCGAAAAAGTCATACACGATCGTTCATCCGAATTACACCGAATGAAAGCATGCCCGCCAGTCCTGGTATCGGTCCTCCCGTTGTTTCGGAGGTTTCACCGACTGCATAGGCTACACCACATAACACACACATCCAGCTTGCAAGAGTCCACCGCTTGAGGTCCACGCTGGTAAGCATTGTGTGCATGTTGTTGCTGCCGCTGCTGTTGCTGCTGTTGTTGTTGTGAATGGTGTTGTGCTGTTGTTGCTGTTGTTGCTGTTGGTATGGTTGTTGCGTATGTTGTTGTTGTTGGTGGTGGTGTTGTCGTTGTTGTTGTTGCTGCTGCTCTTGTTGAGCCCTCATGTTTAAAACGTATTGTTTGTTCCCCCTCCCCGCGAACTATTTTACGTTCAAATTAAAGCGCTTGTCACGGGGCTCGTTCCCTGTTTCTACAAGGGAAACTGGGGTGTCACCAAACTGTGCCCCTGGCCTCCCGTTTACAACAACAGCGGTTCCCGCCTCCATACTGCCTCACAATGTATTCCCAAGTAGCGCTATCGCGCGGGACGTTCGCAATTTGTACAGACATCGCGGTATCGTGTGGGACGTCCTCGCAGTTTATTCAGGCGCTGCGCCCTCGACATTCATGAATCATGAATCACTTTGTTGTGGATTGTCTCACAGTTTACCTGGGAATCGCGCTATCGCTCAACACGTCCTCGCGATTCATGCAGACGCTTCAGCAACCCGCCTGCTCGACCTGGCCGTCTGGGCCCGCCTTCCGACCCGCCAGTCAGGGTCTACCCGCCCGACCTGCCCCCGCCTGGTATGCCCGTCTGGTTCTACCATGTGTTTTTTGCTCCTAGCCCCCCTCCTGCTACGCTCTCTCGTGCTCCATCCTCCTCATTCCCCCTTGTTCCTTCTTTCCATCCGTCCTTTCTTCCCCTGTACGAAAGGGGCTGCGCGAAGTACACGTTGCAGGTGAGGGAGATAATACCCCCAAGCGGGTACGATCGAATACGAAGAGGGCGTGTATCGAGGGTTTGGGATATACGTGTTGAATGGCACGCGAGCAGATAAGAGCGAACAGTATCAAAAGGATAGCTGTTGTTGATGTTGCTGTTGTTCCTTGGACTCTTCGGATCGCCGCCTTTGGATTGTGGCCTCGGCTGTAGAAGGAGGATGTAGTGGTGGCAACATGGCAAGCACACCAGCTAAGAAACGGGCCTGCCAACGGGGGCCACGCGCGTATTTCTCATCACTCGACCTTGCCCCAGATACCTCTTGGACACCTTACAAGTACGATGCTCAGAGTCGATGAAGGAGCTACATTTCTTTTCGCACGTGCCCATTCTAGCAGGTAGGAAGAGGGGCGTCGACGGACTGGGACTGGCTCAGTGTGGGAGCATCGGCCCTCAATCGCTCATTAGCTCGTGATCGGGACCTGGATGCCTGGTCATGCCTAGGAGTTCGTGATCTTGCAATCGGGGGTCAGTCGCCGTCCTGGTGGTGACTTTTGGTCGATGCACACGCTTCTCCTCGTGAGCCGGTCCCCCTCCCTCTTGCTCCAGAGGAGGCGGGAGGAGAACAGCGAGGGAGGGGGCAGGGCCCCGAGGTCAAACATCATGAAGCAGTCGTCACAAAGTCGAGTCGGCGTCACCCCAACATACTGATACTATGTGTGCGTCGCCCCCCCCCCAGGGGCGTCGCGCGCACCGAGGAATCTTACAGTATATGCGTCGTGGCGGGCGGTTTCTGGCCAACCGCTCTGGAGACGATACCCTACAAGATGGGTCTACCCTATGTTCGGGTCGGACGCGCGCCTCCAAGGAGGACGTATCGCATTACGTGGTATGTCTCTGTGCGTCTCATCGAGGGGCAGGACCAAGCCTGAGATTTTTCGACCCCTGTGCTTGCGCGGGGCCTTCTCGGGCGGGAGCGATCCGCGAGAGGGCTGGCGGGGCGCTTTGGCTGGGGCGGCGCGAGGGGGCGCGGCCTCCTGGAAGGCAGGGGGGATGGGCCTCCTGGAAGCCCTCCCAAGACGCCTTAGAAGCACCTCCTTCTCCTCCTCCTCCTCCTCCTCCTCCTCCTCCTCCTCCTCCTCCTCCTCCTCCTCCTCCTCCTCCCCTTCTTCCTCTCCCCAGAAGCTTTCCGAGAAGCCTCCGGGCCCTTCTCGGAGGCCCCCGCTTTTCTCGAACAGCCGCCCTCCTCATCACCCCAACCCCCTGCTTTCGCACAGACAGGGGGCCTCAGCATGGCCCCGGCATCCCAGCGGCCTGGCCACGTCGCGGCAGGACACTGCAGACCCCTCGAACCCCCTCAACGGGGGGCTGGCGGCTCACTACGCGCAGTTTCTGTTGGCGGCCCCGGGCCCGAAGCCTGGCTCCACAGGCCCCGCCCCAAGCGGGTGAAACATTTGCCGCCCCGTTCGCTGTGCTACTTAAGCGGGTGGCGGACGCCACAGGGGGCCTTCGTTAAACGAAAAAAATGTGGGGGCAAGTTTACTTGCGTGGGCACGGGGAGGAGGGGGGGGGGCTGAGCCTGAGGCAAGCCGCAAACGGTTGGCACGTGCGGAGATCACGAGGCGTTTGCACGCCAGTGTTAGTTTGAAGAGGGGCGAGAGGGGAAGGGGGAGGGGGCCGAGCGCCATGCAAGTAAACTTGCCCGAATCTAGAACAAACAAGAATGTATATATACACATATATATATATATATATATATATATATACATATATATATATATATAAATAAACAAAGGCTCAGGCGAGAGCGCCGCCCTCGCGGCGGATCAGCACGCCCATCGTCATCTATGTCTTCCTCCACGGAGGGGGGCACGGGCGGATCCTCGGGCTGGGCGAGGGGCGTTGCCTCGCGGTGAGCGGTCGTCGACGGCGGGCGCGCCAGGGGAGCGCTTACAGGGAGGGAGGGCGGGGGGGGGCGGCGGTCCAGCAGCTCGCTGCTCCCTACAGCCGAAGAAGAAAAATCGCCATAGATATAAACTTTTTGCGCTCCGCGCGGATTTCTTGGATCCGCGCCGGGCCCCCCCCGGCGGCGCCTCCGGCGCCGCCCCTAGCGCGCTCCGCGCGCCAGCGAGGGGGGTCCGGCGCGGATCCAAGAAATCCGTTCGGACCTCCAAAAGTTTATGCTTATGTGTTCTTCTGATGACGCTGAGAGAAGTGTGTCCTTCCATGGTCGTTTCTCTGGCTCTCCTTCTGTACCGGGGCGCTTCGGGGAGCACAGGAGGAGTTTCGCTCTTTCTTTGTAGCGATCCTTGCGGCAGGGCATCTTGATTCTTGACGCCGCGCGTAACCCCACCAGTCCATCCAGAGACGATGCCCAGAGGAGATGCCTCGATCAGGGAAGTGGGCAGCACAAAGAGGAAGAGTCCCTCTTGGAGCGCTCTTGGGTGCCTCTGGGAGCCTCTCGGGGCCTCTTGGAGGTATCCTGGGAGCCTCCTGGAGGCCTCTTGGGCGTCTCTTGGGGCCCTCTTGAGGCACTCTTGGGAGCCTTGGGATCGCTCTTGGGGCCGTCTTGGAGGAGATCGCTCAAAAAAGGGAAGAGCTCCAATTACGGCCCCCCTTGTGAGCCCCCACAGTCGCCTCTTGGGTCCCTCTTGTGGCGCTCTTGGGCGCTCTTGGGGCCGTCCTGGGGCTCTCTTGTGCCTCTTTTGGAGCCCTCTGAGGCCATCTTGGAGTCATCATGATGCCTCGGAAGGCCATCGGAAGCGAAAAGGCCAGAAAACACAAAACATGTGTTTTCCTCGTTGATTGAAGGATGTTGGCCTCTTGGCGGCCTCCAGGGGGAGCTTTCTGGCTACATGGACATGTTTTCGAAAAGCCTTGATGCTTCTTGGAGCATATTGGGAGCCAACTTAAACCACCTTGAGGCATCTTGAGCTATCTTGGAGGCCATCTTGGACTCTCCGAGGTCCTCTCGGAGCCGTCTTGGGCCATCTCGGGGGGTTGGAAGAGAAAGCTCTCTAGACTACAGGGCTGGTGGGATTTGCTGACGATCCCCCCCGGTCCCCCTCCCTCCCCCCCGCCAGGATTTTTTCTGCCTCGAGCTGCTGGGCGTCGTGGGCCCCCAGCTAAGAGCCCAGAGGCAGGGCCGCGCTCCTCGAGCCCAGGGACCCGACGAAGTTCCCGCCCCTTTCCCAGGTAGGAGGAGGAGAAGGAGAAGGAGGAGGAGCGGAGGAAGTGGCCACGGCCACGCCTTCTACGGTCACGAACGTTTGCTTACCGCATCGCGCCGCCGGTTCTGGCCCACTACGCTTCGGCGCGACACGCCTATTGTAGGCGTGACGCTGGAGCGTGCTATAGCGTAGCACGCTCCAGTCCGCAAGCACCAGCGTTTCGGACTGCCCCGAGGCTGCGATCGCAGGAAGCAGAGCGATTCGCTGCCAGCAGATGCGTGGCGTAGCGCCTTGCAGGGGCCGCCGCCGCGGCGCGCGGCTCGGCTCCACTTCGTCTCCCGCGCAGCTGCTGCGATGCTGGCCAGCGCGGGCCTCAGCGTACCGCGGTCGCGCGGCCGGCCCCCCACGCCCGGGGGGCGCGCACGGCCGCCCGCGCCGAGTGCCCCGCAGGCGGCGCCGCGCCCCAGGCTCTGCCCGCGGCGGCGCGGCCGCAGGCGCAGCCGCAGGCGCGTGGTGCATTCCCCGTCGCCCCCGGCCAGCGCCGTCCTCGCCGCCGTCGCCGCCGCCGCCCCACGCCGTCACCGCCGCCGCCGACGCCGTGGCCGCCGCCGTCACCGCAGCCGTCGCCGCCCCCGCCGCAGGTGCCGCCGCTGCCGCCGCTGTCGCCGGCTCGGTTGCCGCCGTGGTGCTGGTGATGGTCGTCGTGTGGCTGTCCTCCTCCTCTTCCTCCTCCTCCTCCTCCCCCTCCTCCTCCTCCTCCAGCTGCTGCTCCTCCTCCTCCTCCAGCTGCTCCTCTTCCTCCTCCTCCCCTTCCTCCTCCTCCGCCTCCCCCTCCTTCTCCAGCTGCTCCCCCCTTCTCGTTCTGCGCATCCTCCTGGCAAGGGACTTCGCCCCAGTCGGGCTGTGGTCTCAGTGGATCTCTCCATATTGCGAAAGCTTCACGGCTGGTGCCGCCGACCATGAAGGCTCCCCAAGAGCTTGCTTTTTAGATTCAGGCAAATTTACTTGCATGGCGTTCGCCCCCCTCCTCCCTCGCCCCTCTTCAAACGAATTCTAGCATGCAAGCGCCTTTAGATTTGCGTGATTTCCGCTCGTGCAGATCGTTTGCAGCTTACTTCAGATTCACCCCCCGTCCATGCAAGTAAACTTGCTGGGCTCTTAGAAAAGCAGGCTCCCACCCCTCCGAGAAAGGTTGGGACTCCAGATGGGGGGCGGACCCGCCAGGACCCTGGGGGGGGGGGGGGGCATCCTGACCCGGGACCCCTCCCCCTCACTGCCCCTCCCTCCCACCCCCACCCACCCACCCCATCCCTTTTCCGGCAGGTAAGAGGGAAAGGGGAGGGAATCGACTTGAACACGACGTTCCTTTTCCTTGTTCCTCAATTTCTGGAGGACTGACTGCGAGGACGCCGCCGCCGACGACGACGACGCGAAGAGCAAAGCGCCTCACACACGCCGAAGGGTCGGCGGATTGGTTTCCCCAGGCAGGGCGGGATTGCATGATGGCTGCGGATGCCCATAAAGTCCTGCGTCTCCTCGTGCGCCCCCCCAGAGACCCGACGTTCCCTGCATTGATTGTCTGGGGACTGACCGGGAGGCTCCTATACCATTTGTCCCTCGAAGTCTTGTCTGTACGGCTCCAGAAGAATGTGGGCAGGGACCAGGCACTGAAGCCCGAACGCGCAAGCAAACTGTATGCGCAGGAAGGGAAACACACACACATACACACATACACACAATTAAACGTCGACTCCCTGGAAGATATGGGAAAACATATGGGAAAGTGGGGGGGGAATACCGAAACCCAGAACATATGGGAAAAAATGGGGAGCCCTCTTTTTGTGTCTGTTTATTTGTGTGTCCCTGGGTTTATGATGTTCCATCCTACTTTAGCCTTGATCACCAGAAAGACTATCGAGCACCAGAAAAAAAAGTACCAGACCTCGAGGGTTTCCACGTGCCGTGCCCTGGGAGACACCCTTTGGACACTCTTCCGACACCCTTTCGACACTTTTCCGGGTGCTCGAAAGTATTGCCGGAACGGGGTCCGCAAGTACGATGGGGAGCCACAGAACCCTGGGCCCCTTGACGTGCCCCCCCCCCGCGCAGACCAGCCAGTGCTGCCCGCCATTCGCCGTCGGCGTGCCCGACGCTGCTGACGCTGGCGTGCTCGCCAGCCTCCACGGCTGGACTTGGGAGGAGGAGGAGGAGGAGGAGGAGGAGGAGGAGGAGGAGGAGGAGGAGAAAGAGGAGGGAGGAGGAGAAAGCGGAGGGAGGAGGAGCAGGAGGAGGGAGGAGGAGCAGGAGGAGGAGGAGGAGGAGGAGGAGGAGGAGGAGGAGCGGACCAGGGCGACCCTCTGGCCCCGCCCGCTCTCAGATCGAGGTTCCCCCCGCTCGCCTCTTCGAGTTCTTCGGCATGTTTTCTTGTTGTTCGTTGGCGGCGCGCGCCAGGGGGACTCGCCAGGGGAGGGTTTTTTTTACGGAGGCGGGGGGGTGCTCAGAAGCAGGCAGTGGGCTTCTCAGAAGCCCCCCCCGGCTTCGAACCAGGTGTCGGGATCCTTTCCGATCAGGTCCCCGCCTGCTAAAGCGGCTCCGTCGTCTTAGAAGGCCACCTCCGTCTCGCGCCACCCGTGTACACGCGCCGCCAAGCATTTCGCCCAGGCAGCTAGAAGCATCATGGAAGAGCGCGCCAGTGGAACACTTCCCATTGAAAGGGAGGCCCCAGCTTGAAGCCCCCCCCTCCCTTGCTCCTCCCTTTGAACAGGGTTTCGGGGCCCGGGGTAAGCCCGGGCTGCCCTTTCCACAGGAGTGGGGCTTCCGAAGCTACCCCCCCCCCTCCCCTCCCTCTGTTGGCTTTTCCAGCTGGAGGGCCCTGGCTGAAGGGGGGGCGTCGAAGCTACTTTTCTTCTTTAGTTTTCGGCGCCCCACTGGTTTTCGGCGTACTTGTGGTTTTCGGCGTCTCTTTGATTTTCGGCGCCTCTTTGGTTTTCGGCGTTCCTTCAGCCTTTGGCGCCCCTTTGGTTGTCGGCGCCACTTTGGTTTTCGGCGCTCCTTTGGCTTTCGGCGCTCCTGTGGTTTTCGGCGCTCCTTAGGTTTGTTGGCGCCCCTTTTGGTTTTCTGCGCACCATCTGGCGCCCTCCTGGGTTCCGGCCCCCTTTGGTGTTCGGCGCCCTGTTGGTTGTCGGTGCCTGTTTGGTTTTCGGCACCACTTTAGTTTTCGTTGTTCTTTTGGTTTTAGGCGCTCTTTGGCTTTCGGCCCCCCTTTGGTTTTCGGCGCCCTTCGGCTTTCGGCGCGCCCTTTGGTTTTCGACGCTCTTTTGATTATCGGCGCCCCTTTGGTTTTTCGGCGCCCACTTTGTTTTCGGCGCATCGTTGGTATTCGGTGCTTTTTGGTTTTCGGTGCCTCTTTAGTTTTCGGCGCCCCCTGCGGTTTTCGGCGCCCCTGCGGTGTTCGGCGCCCTTTGGTTTTCGACGCCCTGTCCGTCTTCGGAGCCTCTGTTGTTTTCGGCGCTTCTTTTGTTTTTCGGCGCCCTTTTGGTAATCGGCGCCCCTTTGGTTTGTTGGCGCCCCTTTGGTTTCGGTGTCCTTTTGGTTATCGGCGTTCCATGTGGTTTTCGGCGCCCGTTGGGTGTTCGGCGCCCCTTTGGTTTTCGGCTCCCTTTTCGGCCCCTTTGGTTTTCGGTGTCCTTTTCGTTTTCGGTGCCTTTCTGATTATGGCGCATCCTTGGTTTTCGGCGCCCCTTTTGGTGTTCGGTGCTTTTTTGGTTTTCAGCGCCGTTTTGGTTTTCTGCGCCCCCTTGGTTTTCGGCGCCTCTTTGGTTTTCGGCGCCCTTTCGTTTTTCTGGGCTCCTTTGATTCTCGGCACCCTTGTGGTTTTCGACGCCCTTTTGGGTTTTGACGCCTCTTTGGTTTTCGGCGCCGTTTTGGTTTTCGGTGCCCTGTTGGTTTTCGGCGCCCCTTTGGTTTGTGGCACCGTTTTGGTTTTCGATCCCCTGTTGGTGTTGAGCGAACTTTGGCTGTCGGCGCCCCATTGGTTTCCGGCGTCCTTCTCAAGTTCGGCGCCCCTAGGGTTTTCGGCGCCCTTTCGGGTTTCGGCGCCCCTTGGTTTTCGGCGCCGCTTTTGGTCTTCGGCGCTGCTCTGGTTTTCGGCGCTCTTTTGGTTTATTGGCGCATCTTTGGTTTTCGGCGCCCCGCTGGTTCTCGGAGCCTTTTTGGGTTTTCGGCGCCTCTTTGGTTTTGGGTGTTCTTTTGGTTTTCGGCGCTTTTTGGTTTTCGGCGCCCCCTTGCTTTTCGGCGTTTTTGTTGGTGTTCGGCGCTTCTTTGGTTTTCGGCTCCATTTTGGCTGTCGGCGACCTTTGGTTTTCGGCGCCCCTTTGGTTTTCGGCGCTTCTTTGGTGTTCGGCGCTGCTTTGGTTTTCGGCTCCCTTTTTGGTATTCGGCGCACCTTCGGTTTTCGGCGCCCTTTCGTTTTTCGGCGTTCCTGGGATTTTCGGCGCGCCTTTGGTTTTCGTACCATGTCGGTTTTCGGTGACCCTTTGGTATTCGACCCCCTCTGTCTTCGGCGCCCCTTGCTTTAGCCAAAGGGAGGGGTGGGCTTCCAAGCCCCCCCTTAGCCAAAAAGGAGAGAGGGGGCGGGGGCTTCCTGCAGGGGGGATTCCAGGAAGGGGGGGGTAGCCAAGCCAGATTTTTTCCAGGGCGCGAAATGGGGAGGGGTAGCTTCCTGAGGACGGGAGAAAGGAGGGGGGGGCTCCCGACAGGGGAAATCCAAGGGGGGGGGGTAGCTAAGCCCCCCCCCTGTTGGAAAGGGAGGAGGGTGGGTAGTTACTGGAGCGCGAAAGGAGGAGGGCAGTTTTCGAGGGGCGGAAAAACGGAGAGTGAAAGCGGAGTGTCGTACATCGAGGCCCCCGTCGTCTTCTACAAAGTTGTTTGGGGTCTTCTGCTGGCAAGCATATAGTGCTGAGGGTTCCATTTGGACGATCTTTCCGAGGGCGCCTGGAAGTTTGTGAATCGCATCGAAGTGTTCCAGGTGGGTCTTGTTAGGTGTAAACACATGGAGGCCTAGTGTGTCCTAGATGTTTGACTTTCTTCGGCGCCTGCCTGCTTATTGGTGCATATAGTGGCTTGCTGCGCCGTGGAAAGCAACGCAGATTCCCGGAACGCACGAGGCGGCGGACGGGTGGATGAGGGGGCGCGCGCGCGGGTGGGGTCTCCGGCATACCTGACTGCTCTCGCCTCCTCCTCCTCCTCCTCCTCCTCCTCCTCCTCGTTCTCATCCTCCTCCGCCTCCTTCCTCCCCCTCCTCCTCCTCCTCCTCCTCCTCCTCCTTCGCTTCCTCCTCCTAATCCTAGAATCCTCCTCCTCCTCCTCCTCTTCCTCCTCCTCCTCTTCCTCCTCCTCCTCCTCCTCCTCTTCCTCCTCCTCCTCTTTCCTCGCGCCCTCATCTTCCTTTTCTCTTCGCCCCTACCTCCTTCCTCGTTCTCTCCTCCCCCCTTCCCTCCTCATCGATCCTCCCCCTCGTCACCTACCACCTCCCTCGCTCCTCTTCCCGCCTCCCTCCTCTCCCTCGACCTGCTGCTGCTCCTCCTCCTCCTTCCCATCCCTCCCTCTCCGGGGGTGCGTGGTGCGGGAGGGCGAGGCGGATGCGTGTGACGATGCCCCCCCCGCTGTGCGCCGCGCCCCTGCTTTGCCCTCCGGGCCCCGCAACAACTGGAAATTGTATATACGTCATCTTCGGCCACCGCCACGTACATACGTACACACCATAGTCATGTTGATCACATGCATGCCGTCGTCATGCCGATAACATCCGGAGGCACGTCGGCTCAAGGGTCCTCGTTCGATTCGGGGGGCCGTGCAGGGCCCCGCGCGGCAACGCAGTGCCATAACTCTGCGGGGGGGCACATCGCCATGTCTGGCTGAAATTACGAAGTTGTTCATGCATTAGCTGCGCTAGGAAAAACAAGAAAAATGACGTTGGACGCGGAAGCGTATCCAACGACCGTTTCTGCGATGACTGAGTTTGAGAACTCTTTAGCTGAAGAGTTCGATTTCCCCCATGGTGCCGCGGGCGGCAGCAATGTGTTTCGAACGCCACTGAGTTACGAGAGATCGATTCGGTACCACAAAAAGCAGCGAATTGAGGCAGAGCAGCTATAGCAAAACACCCTCGTGGAGCGCTCCCGTGGGCAAATCCATACGCTGTGGTTCGTGAGTGTGGGGCTGTCTTGCCCTGCGATCTCAGCTCGCACGCTCCAGGATCTCTGAGCAGATCTCCCTCCTGAGGAATCCAAGGGCACTTCGCATCAGTGCATTGGCGCTGTCAGGGATGGTTTTGTAGAGCAGATCAAGGTATTAAACAAACGTGAGTTGCCAACGGCTCGCCAGGGAGGCGCGGCCTGGTAAAGAGAGCAGCTGCGCGCCGAGACACGCCCGATCTACATTCAACCTGTACACGATGAGGCGCTCATCCGGTTGAAGTTCTTCGCGGAGGAGGCGCGCAAGCTGAACGTGCCCACCCGGGGCCGGACATCGAGCATTCAAAATAACGTGGTGCACGCCATTTGCGATGGTAAAGACATCGAGGTGTTCACGGAGCGGCAGGCGCTGGGGAGGAAGGGCGGCAACATGATTGCATTCGCCATCCTCCTGATGGCAATGGTCGTCATTGTGGAGTTGAAGGGAGGTTTGGTTGGCCACAGACATGGGTGCAGACGAGCGCGGGTGGTACATTTGGTTGTTGGCCATGGGATTCGGATGAACGAAAACGCCTTGAGGAGAGTTTTGCGAGAGGCGCTGGTCATTCAACGCCATCTTGATATTCTGATATCAGGTACTGTATGGTCTTTGCCACGACCTTTGTTCGGCCGCGCACGGAAAGCCAGAAACGTCTCAAGTTGTTCAGGGAATACTGCGACGCTCCATCCACGCCAGCGGAATTGCGCAAAGCAGTCCTTTGCTTGCAACTCACACTTCATGCCACTAGCTTGACCGCGGCTAAAGGGGCGCCTGACGAACCCCTCCTGATGGTACGCTTGGGGGGGGCGTGAGGTTCAGCGTAAATCTTCCGATGACTTGGCCAGGCTCATCCCGCTCCTTGCTACTGATCCGCATATCAAATCACCTGACGCCATCACAGGACTACTCGTCACAGAGGCGCATCTCTGCGCTCGGGGCTGCTTTAAAGCCC